TTGCTCGTGAGCTGCAGCAGCGTGGTCAGTTGCGACTTGCGTACGTGGCCTCTGAGGCCAACACTGCTGATGTGTTCACCAAGGCACTTGCGCCTTGTGACCATCAGCGCTTCTGCACCCAGCTGGGTCTTGTGCCTGTCTTGCCTCACTTGCTCTCCTCTTGACTTCACTTGTACTGTGACATATATATATACCTGCTCTTGCTTGTCTAGCTTTATATATATGTCTGTACTCTTGCTTGTGAACTGGCCTCTGGCCTTGCTCTTGTGCTCGGACTGTGTGGTGACTTTGTGATCCACCCTGAGCTTTGCTTTGTCTTGCTTGACTGGTCTTGTGACCCCTTGTTCTCCCCCACTTTGCCTATGGGGGTGTGTCAGAACATATCTATAGCTTATACTGCTGTGTAGGCTGTAGTGGGGTATCCCATAGGGGGTACAACCCAGTTAGGGTTTCATATTTGTACTGCTTTCATTCATAGTTGATTCATTCCTGCTTACTCATTTCACATGAACAAAACTAGAGTACAACTTTTTTTTACCCTATTTCCATCAGGGTACGAAATGTTTTACCCTAGGAGTCGGGGTTGGCCCACCCTCGAACTCTGATTTGACAGGGTGGGCCAAAACCAATTTTGGGCGCTGGTTATACCGTAATCCTGCGTATATAAGACCCTATGGGTATTATGATAATCACCTCTAAACAGGCTGGGGGGTATAATTAAATGGTATATTTTTTAGAAGACCCGGGTCTGTTCACATTGACATTTATAAGAATGCACGATGTGTTGGGTGCAAAATATTATTTTTGCACAGCAACCAGCCGTCTGCATGACGTTATGCATTTTGTGTGCATTCGTTTTCGTCGACGAACATGTGCGTTCATGAAAGTGTGTTGCATTAATGCTTTATGTTTCATGAATGTCGAGTTTTTTCATGAAGATTGGTTGTGAGTTTCGAGTGTGTTTGTGTTTGGGGCTCGATAGTTTGACCAGCCCATTGACCACTTCGCGCTGGTCAACTAAAAAGTGCGCGAAGTCACGACCCGCGCGTGGGGTCCTGACACACGTGTGTGTCCTGACAGAACATGCGCGGGTGTCGCCACTGTCTCGATCGTGTACTGTACGCACGATCGATACAGAACGAAGCGACATGCTCGCCTCGTCACATGTAGGACAACGCACGATCGCGCCAGCGATTGTTTTGTCCTGCACGACCGAGAAATATCTCGGTCGTGATGAGGGGCACGTGGGGCACTCGAGATTGCGGTTGACTAACGGGATTTTGCGCTGACTTGGCTTGCACGAAAATTCGCCAAAAAGTCTTGCTGCTTTGCGCCATTATTTCGACAGAGGTACAAAACGGTAAAGTCCGTTTGTAACTGAAGAAAACGGTAAACCCACACGAGTGTCCATGATTTGTACACGAGCGATCATGAATGTTCACGAGGGGAGTCAGCAGGAGAATTTGGCAGCAGTGCAGTGGAAGACAGTTATTCTACAGAGGCAGATCAATGAGAAAACTGAAACGAGAATGAAATGACTAAGGGAAAGTTGGGTACCAGTACAAACCCTAGAAAGTTGTACCCCATATGTGCTACCCCACTATAGCCTACGTTACATATGTCATATAAATCTGACACACCCCCATAGGCAAAGTGGGGGAGAACAAGGGGTCACAAGACCAGTCAAGCAAAGCAAAGCAAAGCAAGCTCAGGGTGGATCACAAAGTCACCACACATTCCGAGCACAAGGGCCACAAGGCCAGCTCACATGCAGGATTACACATATATAAGGCTAGACAAGCAAGAGCAGGAGTATATATATATGTAACAGTACAAACAAGGTCAAGGGGTGAGCAAGTGAGGCAAGGTAGGCACAAGACCCAGCTGAGTACAGAAGCGCTGATGATCACAAGGCGCAAGTGCCTTGGTGAAGATATTAGCAGTGTTGGCCTCAGAGGCCACGTACGCAAGCCGCACCTGACCATGCTGCTGTAGCTCACGAGCAAGGAAGTAGCGGAGAGCAATGTGCTTTGTTCTGTGCTCCACTCTCTGCTCTCGACACAAGGCCAGCATGGCCTTGTTGTCTACGTACAGCACTGGAGGAGAACGAGGCGGCTATCCGAGGTCAGTCAGCAGGTAGGTGAGCCAGTGAAGCTCCTATGCAGCCATGGCTCCTGCGTAGATCTCAGCCTCACAACAGGAGTCGAGAAGAGAAGACGAGCGGGTAGCCCGCCACGAAACAGAGCCGGAACCAAGGCTGAAGGTGTAACCCTGTGACGACTGTTGGAATCACTAAACAGGAATGTATGAACTAGCAGTGAAATCAGTACAAGTACCTAACCCTAGAATTCTGTACCCCCTATAGGCTAACCCATAGTAGCCTAAACTAACACAACATATATAATGTTTGACACACCCCCATAGGCAAAGTGGCGGAGAACTAGGGGTCACAAGACCAGTCAAGGCAAAGCAAGGCAAAACAAGCTCAGGGTGGATCTCAAGGATACCACACAAATTCCGAGCACAAGCAAGTGGTCACAAGACCAGTTCACATGCAGGTTTATAATAGAGCAAAAGGTACAATGATCACAACCTAACAAGAGTAAACATGCTGGTATATATATCGAGATCATAGTACAAACAGACTCAAGAAGTAAGCAAGTGAGGTCCAGTAGGCACAAGGCCTAGAAGAGTGCAAAAGCGCTGATGGTCACAAGGCTGAAGCGCCTTGGTGAACACATCAGCAGTGTTGGCCTCAGAGGCCACGTAACGCAGGCGAAGCTGACCACGCTGCTGTAGCTCTCGAGCAAGGAAGTAACGCAGAGCAATGTGCTTCGTTCTGTGCTCCAATCTGTGCTCCTCACACAAGGCAATGGCTGCCTTGTTGTCAACGTACAGCACTGGAGGAGAACGAGGCTGCTCTCCAAGGTCGGTCAGCAAGTAGGTGAGCCAGCGTAGCTCCTGGGCCGCCATGGCTGAGGCGTAGATCTCAGCCTCGCAACTGGAGCTGAGAACAGAAGAAGAGCGAGTAGAACGCCAAGAAACAGAACCAGAGCCAAGACTGAAGGAGAAACCCTGAGACGACCGCTGAGTAGCCTGGTCATCAGCCCAAGAAGCGTCTGAGTGCCCAGTGAGAACAACTGGGACTCGCCCTCCAAGCACTAGCCCCATGCCCGACGTACTGCACAAGTAGCGCAACACCCTCTTAGCTGCATCCATGTGCTCCTTCCGGTGACGGCCGAGAGCGACATAGCGTGCAAGAATGCTGAGAGGGTATGCAAGGTCTGGTCAAGTGCAGGTCATCAGCTACATGAGGCAACCTACAAGCTCTGGTTACGGGCCACTCGGCTCTACGGACTCATCCGAAGGCAGAGCTAAGAGCGAGTGACCGGTAGGCAGAGGAGTGGGCTGAGGCGAGGAGTACGTGAAGCGGAAGCGCTGAAGGACCTGCTGCACCATGTGTGACTGAGTCAAGGTGATGGTGCGGCGTGCTCTGTCCTGGGTGATCCGCAAGCCAAGATAGCTTGTCAGTTCACCCAGGTCTGTGCACGTGTGTCTCTTCTACAGCTCCGACTTCACGTGGGCGAGTGCCACAGTGTCAGCAGTAGCAAAGACCAAGTCGTCGACGTACACAAGGACGTAGAACGGCGGCAGTGTGGTGTCGGTGCGTTCAAACAGCGACGGGTCAGTAGTAGAAGGGTCGAACCCAAGAGCCGCAAGCGTAGTCCTCAGTGTGTCGTGCCACTCACGAGGCGCCTGGCGGAGATCGTAGACTGGCCGTCGGAGGCTCCACTGGGTACCAGGAGGGAATGACCCAGTGAAGCCAGGTGGACGGCGCAGCCAGATCTCCTCGTGCAGGCTGCCCTGCAGGAAAGCAGTGCTGAAGTCAAGCGAGTGGAGCTCGTAGTCACGCTGAGCGGCGACGTGCAGCAGAACCCGAAGAGTGGTCATCTTTGGGGTCGGGGAGAAGGTCTAGAAGAAGTCAACTCCCTCTCGCTGACTGAAGCCTCGTGCAACGTAACGCGCCTTGAAGACAGGCGGAGAGCCCGGCAGCCGCTTCACCCTGAAAATCCACATGCCACTGACGATGTTCGCCCCAGGTGGGGGAACCTCGTCGACGTAGGTGCCTGTGGACTTCCAGGAAGCCATATCTGTGTACATGGCTGACTGCCACTGAGAGGAGTAGGGACCGGCCATCGCCTCTGCGTAAGAGCGTGGGGTCGGGATGTTTGGTGCATCCGGGTCTCCCTCAGGGGCAACAAGCATGGACACGAGATGGGGCAAAGCGGCAGCAAAGCACTCAAACTCCTCCTGCCTGTCCTCAAGGACGTCAGTGCCAAGAGCACACTCACCCCTGACAAACGGAGGACAGACAGACTCAGACTCAGCAACTAGGCTAGCAGCGTAGTCTAGACGACAGCGAGCAGCAAAGTCGACAAGCTCAGCAACTAAGGCAGACGCAGCAGCAGACTCAAAGGAAGGGTCAGTGACAACAGTAGCCAGGAGACGCGTGATAGTAGGACTGGTAGCATGAAGAGAGTCTGACCCTGGGTCAGCAAGAGCAGGAAGAGAGGAAGCAGGAGGAGACGGTAGTGGGACACGCTGTGGAGCAGTGGACGAACGAAGCGCCATCCGGTGAGTGCCTGGGACAGCAGGAAGACGCTGACGCTGGACTCGACTACTAGAGAGAGCAGTGCGGACAGGTCACCAGCTGACCAGCAGGCTCAAGAAACTTCTTCTAGTCTGCATTTCGATCCCTGCATCGCAAAATGGTGGTGTACGAGGAGCGCACGCTCTCGCCATATCTGCCTGTTATTGTTGCTCATGTCCGCCATTGTCGGTCTTCCTCGTTCTCGCGCTTAGAACACCTCCCTTCTGCCCTCAACTCGATTTCCCCCCTTCCCCCCACCCCCTACCCTGCCGCGCACCAACCTCGCCGCACCAATCTCCGTGCGCCTGCCGCACGTAACGGTGCATGCAGACGCGGCTGGCGCTGATGATCAAACCCGCGCGAGGCGGAGCGGCAGTGGCAGATGGGAATAGAGAATGAGAGCGGGTTCTCCCGCGAAGAGACCGCCGATGCCTTCCTCCAGGTGCGGTTGAGGGACAGGAAGACGTGGGCGTGGGGAAAGGGAGATGTGGGGCCAGGGAGAGGGCTGGGAGATGGCTAGGAGAGGGGAGTGGGGAGGGGGGGAAGGGGGGAGGAGGGGCTAGAAGAGGGGGGGAAAAGGAGGAAGGTATGGAGGTGCGAGTCGCACTCATGCGAGCCGCGCTCGATATGGTGAGGTAAGGTTCCAATCGTCAATTACTGTTTCCGCAACGCTTTTGCCAGCTTAGCCCAGTTGTTGCTGTCTTGGCTGTACATCTGACTTAGTTACATACTACAGAGTCAGGTGAGCTACTACCCCCCAGTCCTCTCATGCAGACCATCCAGCTGCCAAGGAGCATCGCAGCATGATGGTGCAGCAGGTGCGTCCAGTAGTCTCGAGAAACTATTTGGAGTCTGTATTTTGTTCCCTAGCATTCATCTGAAATGGCGGTGTAGGAGGAGCACGCGCTCTCGCTGTGTTTGTCTGTCATTGTTGGTCACGTCAGTCATTGTCGGCCCGTGCCTTTCGTTATCCGTCGCTGTCCGTCCGTCCTTGGTCGTCATTCCCCGTTTTTGTTGCTCGCGCGCTTCGCTCAATTCCCCTTCTTTTCTCGCTTCGATCTTCCCCCTTCCCCCCCCCCCCCCGGTCTTCCCCCTTTCCCCCGGTTTTCTCCCTCCCTCCTCCCCTCCCCCCCGTTCTCTACTGCCGCGCACCAATCTCCGTGCGCCTGTTGCGAGTAAAGGTGCTTGCAGATATGGCTGGTGCTGATGGCATGATGATCTAGGAGGCCGCACGAGGCGGAGCGGCGGTGAAAGATGGGCATGGAGAGTGAGAGCGGGTGGTCCCGCTGCAAGATTGCAGACGCCTTCCTCGAGGTGCGGGCGAGGCGGGGGGACGTGGCTGTGGGGAAGGGGAGATGTGGGGGCAGGGAGAGTGTTGGGAGAGGACTGGGGGAGGGGAGGGTGAAGGGGGAAAGAGGCCATGGAGGACGAAAGCACGTGCTTCCGCGGCGAGATCGCGGACGCCTTCCTCAAGGTGCGCCAGGGGCGAGGGGAGAGTCGCGCGGGGATAGTTGTGGGGAGGGCGGGGAAAGGTGGGGCGAGGGGAGAAAGAAGGGGAGGGAAGGGGGGTTTGGTTGGTTCTTTTTTTTTTAGACGTACAAGCCTGTGTTGACAACTGCGTGCCAGCAGACCGCATGGTGTCTGTTTTTTGAGAATTCTCAAAAACCAGCAGACCGTATGGTGCCTCTGTTCCCTCTCCCCCGTGCTCTTTCCGCCCGTCTCCTCACCCAGCCACATGCCGTGTATGAGGACCACATGCCAGCAGACCGCATGGTGCTGTGTAAGCTGGTCATAACTTGAAGTCGTTCTTCCCCCTTTCTCCCAGCCCCGCTTCTCCAAATCCCCCCCTCCTCCCCAACGAGGTGTGTGAGGGCTGTGTGCCAGCAATAGCAGATCGATCGCATCGTGCAGCGCAAGCTGGTTATAAGTCGTTCCGCCCTCCCCCTCTCCCCTCTCCCCCTCTAGCAGGCCGCATGCTGCTGCGCAAGCTGGCACAGGACATGGGCGAGCGGCCGCGCCTGCAGTTGAGTGAGCCATGGGATACGGGATGATTGTGGGGATGATACCTAAGCAGTGGGGGGCCGGGGAGGAGGGGAAGTTGGGGTTAGGGAAACGGGTGGATAAAGGGTGCTGGCGCAGGACATGCGCGACACGGTGGCCGCACCTGTGCGTGAGTGAGGGCAGGGGACGAGGGGATGGGAATGATATCGCAGGGTTCACAGGAGTGGGGGGCATAAAGGGATGTGGGGGTTGTGAACGGCGATTGCTCGGTCAAAAGGGTGACGGTTAAGACGCAAAATGGGAAAGAGGGGTGGCCCCACTCGCAAAATGGGAAAGAGGGGTGGCCCCACTCGCAAGTTACTGGGACCACCATGCAAATGCGATGGTGACTCATGGGACAAGGGATGATTGTGGGACTAACTCTGTTTAGCGACGGGGGGACAAGGAGGAGGGGAAGAAGGATTAGGGGAGACGGGGGGATGAAGGGTGCCGGGGCAGGACATGCGCGAGTGGTCGCGCCTACGTGTGACTGAGGGCATAGGCAGGATAATGAAAGGTTAACAGGCGTTGGGGCATAAGGGGATATGGGGGTCGTAAGAGGCGATTGCTCGGTCACTAAACCCAGGTCGAAGAAGCAAAAACTGGGAAAGTTCCCCTTTGTTCTCTGCCACCCCACTCCCCCGACCATCTACTCCCTCACCCGGCCCTTGCCTGGAGGAGCCAGCTCCCTCACGAGGTAGTGGGATTCGGTTGCTAGTGCACCCTCCCTTAAGCCTGCCTCTTCATGAGCCAGCTCTCCACATAAGTGCAACCCCCCAGGCCTGGTGGCGTCGACCAGCATGTGCGCAGGGGCCCAAGAGCTTTCATAGAGAGGCACAGCCTGTTCAGGCAAGGGGGAAACCAGGGGAGCGTTTGTCTGGGTCAGGTAGGTACAGGACCTGCAGCGGGTAGGCTCGTTTGCAGCTGGCGGGTGGGGTGAGTGCATGCCGAGGAGCAGGCACACCAGCGTTGAGACGTCTCAAACCACCCCCACACTTTCCCCTCTGTGCCACTGCCACACTTTCCCCTCTGTGCCACTGCCACACTTTCCCCTCTGTGCCACTGCCACACTTTCCCCTCTGTGTGAGGATTGTAGGCCAGCAGACCGCATGGTGATGCGCAAGCTGCTTATTACTTGGAGTCGTCCCCCCTCCCCCCTTCTCCCCGCTTCCCCAAACCCACCACCCCCACCCCACCCACCCCCCAGGTGCCCCATCCGCCCCATCCACCCCATCCAGAAGCCGCCTAATTTTCCAGTCGACTCGAAAATTGGTTCTAGTGAAGCCGCTCCTAATCTTTATCACCTTTGGCTGAACCTGCAGCTACTAAGTTAGTTCCATGCTTCAATTTTTCGCCTGTCTAGACACCACTGCCGCACTCAATTCACCCCATCCTCCATTTTCATGTGTTCCCTCTGCCTCCCTTCTCTCCCCAATCGCCCCTATCCCTCTTCTCTGTCTTCTCTCCCATGTAAGACAGTCCAAGGCATGGCATGCACCCACAGTCACCGCTTTGCACCATGCTTGTCTCCCGAACCTTTCTATGTGCATCCGAACCTGTCTAGACCCTTTCCTGCACCACACTATCTTGCCTTCACATCCTGAAAACTGTTCCACGCCCGCATACGTCTCTCCTTGCTCAAATCTGCTTTCATCTCTTTGAAGTTCAAAAGTTTGAACCCTCCCTATATCCTGCAGGGTGCCACCAGAAGCTGCCGTTACACCCTCTATTCCAGAAAGAAGTCTGCATGCTCCTCTATGAACAAGCGGATGCATACCCAGACCCGATGCACAAATCTGTTTTGCTTGAGATAATGTACAGATTACTCGAACAGCTGCTCATCTTACGTACATGCCGTAGGCATGGCTGGAGCAAGGTACAATTCCGATCCAGTATTGTATACGAAAACATGTGTACCAAATAGGGTAATTCTCCATCAGAATCTGCTTGCAATACTCAAGATGTGATCGTCTGGTGCCACTACAATGGGTCTGCCACTAGAATGGACAATTACCAGTAGGTCTCTCAATGATATGCCAAAATTACGTGTATTACATCCACCGATATGACGTATGTCCCCCAGGAAAGCACAGCATGCCTTCATCGTCGTGCAACTTGTCACACCCTGTAAAAGCCACACGGTCCAGCAGCTCCAGCTTGCCCACATCGCCAGGCAGCACCTCCAGCTGCTTGCACCCCTCCAAGTCGAGCGCTTGCAGCCGGCTGAGGCGTGCAAAGTTGGGAGGGAGGGATGTGATGGCGGCCTTGTGCACGGTCAGCTCGCGCAGGCATGCCAGCTGCGTGAGAGAGGCAGGGAGATGCGCGAGCACTAAGCAGTTGGACATAATCAGCTTGCACAGTCGGGACAGTGCCCTGATGGAATTGGGAAGCGCATGCAGTTTAGGAGCGTTGATCTCCAGGTTTGTGAGCTTCTGAAGAGCTGCGATGGTTGACGGGATCTCCGTCAGCTCAGGCAAGCATATCTCCAGCTGACGCAGCTCCTGCAGCGTCGAGGTGGAGAAGTCTGGAAGCTTCACGACTCCGGTGCTCACGAGTGCGAGGGTGCGAAGACGAGGCAGGTCGGCCAATGGGAATGGGAGCTCGCCCTCACATGCCAACACCAGACGCAAGTGCTCCAATGAAGACAAGCTTCTGGACAAAGCGGAGGGGAAAATCACCATGCTCAAACTGACTGACTTGAGGCTGGAAAGAGCATAGATACCCGGCAGATGGGTGACCTCCGGATAGGTCCCCAGCCTGAGCGTTTCCAGCGACCCCGGCAAGAACTCTGGAGCCTTTCTCAGCAGCGCACAGCCGGTCAGCTCCAGCTGCTTCAGTGTTGACAAATGCATGAGGCTCGTGGGGACTGAGAACAGGCTGCTGCACTTGTCCACCACTAGCACCTCTAGGTTCAGTAGGGCTGACACGGACTCGGGGAGCCTCTGGATCCGAGAGCAGGACAGCACATACAGCTCCCGCAGGCGTGTCAACTCCCCCATGGCCTCTGGCAGCTCGGCCAGCTCACACTTATGCAGCTCGAGCCTTGTGAGTGAAGCGAGCCGGGTGAAGGAGGGCGGAAGCAGATGTCGTGCCCTGTACGATTTCAGGTAGAGCGTGTGGAGGTTGGTGAGGCCTCCGATGTCGTCAGGGAGAATGAGCAAGGGGGAATTCGCGAGGCACAGGGTCTTGAGCGCTGTGAGGGCGCTCAGCGGGTCTGGTAGCTCGCGCAGATACGCACAGTCCGTGACTATCAGCGTCTCAAGAGACTGCAGCCGGCTGCACGAGCCAGGGAAATGGGTGTTCAGATTGTGCAGCACGAGCGTTGTCAGCATGGGCATCTGGCCGAAGCTGTCCGGCAGTCCGAGGACCGTGCAGTTTTCGAGCTTCAAGGTGCGCAGGCGGGTCAGCGCGGTGGCCTGCTCGGGTACGTCGAAGAAGGTACCGCTCGCATCGATGCTCAGCTCGTGGAGACACGGCATGCGATGGCAGGTGTCGTCCAGGACAGTGTGGAAGTCGTCGCACTGGAAAATCGCCAACGCTCGAGCAGGCTGCACGGTGACTCGGGAGGAAACATCTCATCGAACGGCGGGCAGGCTTTCCCGAGATTCAGCGACTTGAGCGAAGATAGGCGTGCGAATGAGAAGGGAGGAGAGGCGGAGTGGTATTGCCAAGGAGAGACGTCTTCTGGCACGGAGAGATGCGTGAGGCGTGGCAGGTGCGCGAGGTGCTCCAGGGTCTGATAGTCCCCCACCGAGTCGATCCAGAGCAATGTGAGAGCGCTCAAGTTCTTGACTTTTGGAGTTGTTACCACGGGCAGATCGGCAACTGTGAGGGATCGGAGATGCACGAGCTTGAAGAGCGAAGAAGGTAACCGGAACTCGCAGTGCAGGCAGGCCAGCGAGAGGTGCTCCAGCCGCGTGCACCGGCGGAAGAACACGTCGAAGCCGGCTGGCGTGAGAAAGGTCTCCCCCGCCTGGTCGGACTCAGGGTTCTCCACTATCGGCCTTCCGAGGTGGAACGCCGTCAGATTCGGGCAGCACGCGGCGAGGCGAGCTAGGAAAGTGTCGTCGATGGCTTGCGCGCTTCCGTCGCTGAGATGGAGGTGCGTGAGCTTGGGGAAGCAATCCACCGCTGCCGCGAGATCCTTGAGAGACACGGCGCGGTTCGACTTGACAAGGAGCGTGGACACGTGGCGCCGAGCCAGGCAGCGCCAGCGACGGCAAGTCGACGCGATGAGAAGATTGTACGCGGCGTCGGCGAATGCTGGGGGAAGAGGAGGAGCTGGAAACATGGTCTCGCTCTGCTGGTAGCATGCCTCGTCTGGATCCTCGCTATTGAACCTCGGGGGAGGCCGCACGGCGGCCCACACATCCTCATCGAAAGGCTCGCGAGAGAAGAGACGCTTGGAGGGCCAGAAAACGGCAATGAGTAGCTCCTCAGGAAGGCTATTGATATGCAAACACGCCATAGTACCTCAGGTTCTAGGTATGGTTGTAGAAATGTTGGAAAAGAAGACCTTAGCAGATGATGGCTGCGGCAGCTATCTCCTCTCCTTGCCCTCTCTTCACTCGTCTACGTTCTCTGCTCAGCCACGTATTCCCCGCAACGAAGGGCTCGGAGCCTGGGAGATGGCAAGTTAGGACGGAAGCAATTGGGGCGTGCTCCAAAACCAACGCAACCCCCAACAGCTTGTGGTAACAGAAATACAGCTGACACATGGGAGAAGCCCAAGGCGGGTCTTTCCATAAGCGATGACCCTTTGGTTTTCAAATCACTCCGCGAAGGTTTCGCTGGTATTGAGTTTAGGTAACCCATGCAAAAGTGTCGGTTCATGTCTCAGTGACGAAATGATCCTTTGTAACAACTGGGGCGATGTCTTCGACTCTCGTGTGTGGAAACCCGTCCAGTCGCACAAAATACTGAATGGTTTGATTTCGAGTGCACTTGGTTTCCTTACAAGGTTGGCGTAGCACGTAGTTCCACCTTTCCAAGCTTTTTTTCAGGACACACGTGTCGCTTCTTCAGTAAAATTCGCGACGACGAGAGTTTTTCTAGGCGTATTACCATAAGCGAGGGTGATGGCGACTTGATTTTTGGGTTGCGTAGCAACCCTTTATATTTGGTTTCACATTTTGGGGATATCATTTCAAGAGTGTATTTACGCACTTTTTGGAGCACCTGTTTTGAATGTTTTGAGACTGTTCAAACGAATGCCTCAAATAATGGATAAAAATCACCCTTGAATGACATCCCCATATGTAAAACCAAATACTGGAACGCACGTACGTATCATGTTGAAACCATGAACTTGCTCGACCGTCCCAACCTCGTCGATAAATACGGCGGATCGTACGGCCGAGCATAAAATTCTGGCATCAACATGAACGAATGAACAACAAGGTATGAGGTAGAATGGATGCTTAAAAATGAATATTAAAATGCATCATGCAGCAACAGAGGTTGATGGGGTCGTTGAAACAGCGGAAACCCGCTGCCCCAAAGACGATTAACAACCTTTAATTGCATAGATAACACACAATAACACCACACTTTGAAACACAAATCCCACAAACACGAATGCAATCGCACGTAAAAAATGTACAACACCGCGTAACGGTTATGAATGGATCGAAGAGCAACCGCACAGTGAAACAAACACAACGAACAGACATGCACACACACGCAAACAAGCACAGAGAAATACAGATACCGTAATAAACACACAACCGTCATAAATAAAATTCAGAATAAGTAATTCCTAACCTATCCCACCTTACCCTCCCTACAACCCTCCCTCCCTCGTTCCCTCATCTCCATCCCACTCCCCCATCTCCCTTCTCAGCTCACGCACGCGCCCTGCACAAGGCAAAATCAGTGAAGTCAACACACACACGCCCAGGCAAAAACAGGGAAGTCAATACACACACGTCCTGCACAAAGTCAAAACATGGAAGTCAACACACACACGCTGTACACAACGAAGCAAAACACACATTGCACAAAAATCAGTGCATGTTCCTACACTGTGTACAAGAAAGCAAAAATAGGATACCGCAACACACATGCTCTCTCATGCACTCTCTCACGCTCCCTCACGCGCTCCCTCGCGCACTCTCAGGCACACTCTTACGCACTCCCTCTCTCGCTCTCTCTCGCGCACTCTCACCACATTCTCTCTCTCTCTCTCTCTCTCTCTCTCTCTCTCTCTCTCTCTCTCTCTCTCTCTCTCTCTCTCTCGCACTCTCACCACATTCTCTCTCTCGCAAACTATCAGACGCATTCTCTCTCTCACGCTCTCACGCGCACTCACATGCACTCCCTCACGCGCTCTCTCATGCTCACTCTCACGCGCACTTTCACGCACTCTCTCCTGTGCTCTCTCACGCGCTCTCTCACGCGCTCTTATGCGCCCTCTTGCACTCTCTCACGCACTCTCTCGCGCGCTCTCTCAAGGCACACTCTCAGGCACACTCTCACGCACTCTCTCTCTCTCGCACTCTCTCTCGTGCATTCTCACCACGTTCTCTCTCTCACGCGCACTCTCACGCGCTCTCTCACGCGCTCTCTCACGCGCTCTATCAAGGCGCACTCTTAGGGGCACTCTCAGGCGCTCTCTTTCGCGCTCTTTTTCCCGCACGCTCACGTGCATTCTCTCTCTTACGTCCTTCTCTCGTGCACTCTCACGCACATTCTCTCTCTCAAGCGCTCTCTCACACCCATTCTCTCTCTTACGTCCTTTCTTTCGCGCACTCTCACGCACATTCTCCCTCTCAAACACTCTCTCACGCGCACCCTCACACGCTCCCTCACACGCTCTCTCATGCGCTCTCACACGCGCTCTCTCACCCGCTCTCTCATGCGCACTCTCACGCGCTCTCTCACGCTCCCTCACGCGCTCCGTCGCGCACTCTCAGGCACACTCTCACGCACTCCCTCTCGCGCTCTCTCTCGCGCACTCTCACCACATTCTCTCTCTCGCGGACTATCACACGCATTCTCTCTCTCGCGCTCTCACATGCACTCACATGCGCTCCCTCACGCGCTCTCTCATGCTCACTCTCATGCGCACTTTCACGCACACTCTCATGTGCTCTCTCACGCGCTCTCATGCGCCCTCTCGTGCTCTCTCACGCACTCTCTCAAGCGCTCTCTCAAGGCGCACTCTCAGGCACACTCTCACGCACTCTCTCTCTCTCTCTCTCTCTCTCTCTCTCTCTCTCTCTCTCTCTCTCTCTCTCTCTCTCTCTCTCTCTCTCTCTCTCTCTCTCTCTCTCTCTCGTTCTCTCTCTCGCATTCTCACCGCGTTCTCTCTCTCTCACGCGCTCTCTCACGCGCTCTCTCACGCGCTCTCTCACGCGCTCTCTCACGCGCTCTCTCACGCGCTCTCTCACGCGCTCTCTCACGCACTCTCTCATGTGCTCTCTCACGCGCTCTCACGCACGCGCTCTCTTGCGCTCGCTCACGCGTTCTCTAACGTGCTCTCTCACGCGCTCTCTCACGCGCACCCTCACGCGCTCTGTCATGCGCTCCCTCACGCGCTCTCTCACACGCTCTCTCACGCGCTCTCTTACGCGCTCTCTCACACGCTCTCATATGCGCACACGCTCTCCCTTGCGCTCCATCTCTTTCTTCTTCAAATGAAAGTGGAGATCAATCGACGCATTGGAGAGAAAAAAAAAATCAAAACAAAACAAAACAAAACAGGACGGAAATTTCAGAAGGGGGAAGGGAGGACGGAAGGACCAGGAACGCACCTGATAACCACGGTGCCTGATAAAACAATCCGCGCTCGCGTACCAACCCGCGCTTGCGCTCGTGCACCTGTCGCCGGACGGCGGAGAGGGAAGGAGAGGCGACGGCGAGGAGTAGGGAGAGGCGACCGCGGGGAGGAGCGAGAGGCAACGGCGGGGAGGAGGGAGAGGCGACCGGGGGGAGGAGGGAAAGGCGACGGCGGGGAGGAAGAGAGGCGACGGCCGGGAAGGAGGAGATGCGACGGCGGGGAGGAGGAGAGGCGACGGCGGGGAGGAGGAGAGGCGACGGCGGGGAGGAGGGAGGCGACGGCGGGGAGGAGGGAGAGGCGACGGCGGAGGGAGATGCGACGGTGGGGAGGAGGATAGGCGACGGCGGGGAGAAGGGAGGCGACGGCGAGGAGGAGGGAGGCGACGGCCGGGAGGTAAGGGAGAGGAGATGGCGGGGTGGATGGGACGGAGTGATTGTGAGGTGGGTTGGAGAGGTGTTAGCGGGTAGTGAGGGAGAGGATACGGCTGGATGGAGCGAGAGCGACAGCTAGGTGGGAGAAGAACTGGCGAGAAGGGGTGGGGGGGGAGGGGAGGAAAAGGAGTAGGAGCAGAGCAGGTTCTTGTCGAGAAGATTCAAGAACAAGAACCAAGAAAAGACAGCGCCGCATTCAAGCTGTGAAAGAGACGGATGCCAGCGCAGAACGAGAAAATTTGTGCCAGAAGAGCGAGAAAATTTAGGGCGTGTTACATTTTTCATTTTTTTTGTCCTGACGTCCAGCCGTCCGGACGATTGTGTGATTACTGAACTCGTTAAATCTCGGCATTGAGTTCGTCAGGGTCTAAACGACGTCGCATTCTTCGTATTGCCTCCTTACGACATTGAATTGGTCGCAACACGACCGTACGACGTCGCAATTTTCGCACGTGTCCAGACAGCTGTCCGGACTTTCAGCGACTTCGAAAAATGTAGCACGCCCTTATGCTAGCACAGGAGGAGGGCATTCAGCGATGCCAAATGCCCAACCCGCTATAATAACCTGAAAGAACAATGGAGTTAAGCTGTTGGTGAAAACAATTCATGTTTATAAAAATCACAAAAAGAGCATACATGTCCACGTTGTTCCACAATTAATTGACAACTTTGAGGGGAAGCAACATCTATAGAACATTTCGCTTCATAATAGGGAACTATTGAGCCTGACCTGTTTTAAGTAAAAATGAAGAACTTAATTAATTGCTTCTATAAGCAAAATATAATTATAATGTATGTACTCTATCTTAATGTTTCTAACATAATGTTTCTAATACAAGCGATACAACTCTACGCAACCCTTCCGACGTAAACGTCGAGTCTTGTTTCTACATTGTCAAAGACAGATATGTCATTATCTATCGACTTCTGTGGTACCGCATCAACTCCGCCGCTAACAGCGCGGAAGCCGGCGGGGTATTACCCTCGGAGCAGACTCAACTGATATTACATACTTTGAGGCTGCGCGTGGCAGCACCCCTAGTCCCAGCAGCTCCAGTACCGCCAGTATGAGCACCTCCATGACCAGTGGCTCAAGCACCTCCAGCGCCGACCCCAGGGTCAGCAGCAACACCAACTCCTGTAGGCTCAGCACCCTCAGCTCCAGCTCCAGTAGCACCACGGAGGCTGCGACCGTACCGAGAGTACCACTCACGTTGCTACTGGGAAGAGAGAGCGCCCCCAAGCACAGCACCCCCAGGCTCAAGACCTCTAGACCCAGCACCCCCAGGCTTAGCACCTGCAGTCTCTGCACCCCCAGGCTCAGCACCCCCGGTCTGCGCACCCCCAGGCTCAGCACCCCTAGTCGCAGTACCTCCAGACCCAGCACCACGAGGCTCAGCACGCTCAGTACCTTGCGCAAGACCAGAGTCGTCAGACACCTGGACAGGCTCGATCGGGTCTACCTGGGAAACAACTGAGGGAGCAGGACCTTGGGGAGGCAAGGGGTCTACCAAGGCAGCACCTGGCGTGAGGAAGAGCGGCGGAGGGGGGAGCGGGGCAATGCAATAGGGGAAGAGACGATAGAAGGGGACTGACTCGTCAAACGTGACGTCCTGGGAGGACAGAACACGGCGCGAGGTGGGGTGGTAAAACTGCCAACCACGCGCGTCAGGGGGGAAGACGTAGGGAACAGCACGGGGGGACAGCTTGTCCGCAGACAAGTCGCGGACAAAAGCTCGAGATCCCTAGACACGAAACGCAGACGCATCGCCAACCTTCCCCGTCCACCGCAGAGCAGGGGAGGTCTCCGGCAAGGAGACACGCGGCTGAAGGTTGATCTAATGCGCCGCGTACTGAACCGCGAACAGCCACAGAAAATGGGGAGCAGCCGCATGGATCATGGACGTACGAGCGACGTCCATGACCATGCCAATGTGGCGCTCAGCAATCCCATTTTGCTATGGAGAGGCTGGAAGCGTGAACGTCTGGCGGGTGACCTGTGCACGACAGAAGGCTCGCAGAAGGTCAGAGGAAAACTCACCGCCTCTATCGGAGTGCAGACGCAGAACAGGAAAGTCCGAGCCGAAACTCTCTCTAAGCTGGAGACGAGCTGCAAGGATCCAGTCGATCAACACCTCAGTGACTTCACCCTTGCTGCGCAAGGGGAAGACCATGGTGTAACGCGAGTAGTCGTCAACCACCAACAGGAGGTAACGCTCGTGATCCTGTCCACGGACGCGGGCGGGGCCCCACACGTCCATGTGAAGCGTCTCGAGTGGAGCCTCTGTCAGAGGAAACTCGGAGGAGCGAGGAGCGGCGTGCTGCCGTCCCTCGACGCAGGGAACGCAGGTGGGGGCAGGCCCTGGAGGAAGAGGAGGGAGGGACCGAGGGAGACAAGAGACAAGGAAACGAGAGGCTATGCCTCGGAGACGAGGCAGGGAGGGGTGACCAAGGCGGTGGTGCTAGAGGAGAGTCTCGTGAGACAGGAGACGACACGAACAGGGGGCAGACTCAGGACCAGACCTGGACGCTGCAGCAAACACCTGACCCGACGCAGCTACCTGAGCATACGCAGCAACCAGAGGAGACTGAGTAGTCAATGTGTACAAGCTCGACCCCGGCTGACGGGTAAACGTGGCCAAGTGTCGGCCCGTCCGAGCACACGTACAGTGGGTCACTCGCTGACTCGAAGGAATGAACTGGTCAACCCCTCCATCCTGTAGGTCGGCACCACTCACGAAGTTCGTAGAGAACGAGGGGAGGTAAAGACATGACAGTGTGCCAGAAGGGGCCGCCAGACACGGTAAGACAGTGGAGAAGTGGGCAATGATAGGACCCCCAGAGGGGTCTGCCAAGGAGACTGCAACCGGCTGACTAAGCGGCGTGAGTGTGGTGCGGTCTCGAAAGAAGGAGCAGGAAGCACCCGAGTGAAGGGTGAAGGTGTGCAAAACCTGAGCCGACGTGGTGCCTAAGAGAGCAGACACACTAGCACCTGGGGCAGCAGACTCACCAGTACCTGGAGCAGCAGACGCAATGGCTCCTAGAGCAGATGCCTCACCAGCACCTAGAGCAGCAGCCTCAATGCCCGGGTTAGGCGGAACACACAGGGAATAGTCACCCTCATCAATAGTAGGCAATGCATATATGGCAGTGAGGATAGCATCACAGTCAAGAGTATAGATATCCACCCTCTGCCCAAGCAGCTGCACCCAGTCGGGGAGCTCAGCCGCGTCGCCAAACTCCGTACGCGAGGCGTTGCTCAGACGGGCAAAATAACGGGACTCTGTGTGACCGAACGTCCCGCAAGGCTGACCAGTCCGAGCACCAGTGCGAATGACGTAGGGACAGCGAGCAGTACCCCGTGACCCTCCACGCTGAGCGTACCACTCACGAAGCTGCTGGGGCGAAAGGACCGCGCGCGGACGACGCTGCAACTGCACCTGGCCACTACAAGCAGCTCCCGAACTACTCACTCTAGGACGACTCCCACCACGGCCACCCCGACAACCCCAAGTAGCGTACCACTCACGAAGCTGATGGGGCGTGAGGGACTCACGGGGACGTCGCTGGAGCTGCTTCTGGTCACCGTCAGGAGAAGCAGTAGCAGTAGTGGCAGCGCGGTCACCCCTACAACCCCAACTAGCGTACCACTCACGAAGCTGATGGGGGGTGAGGGACTCACGCGGACGGCGCTGGAACTGCATCTGGCCACGCCAGGAGCAGTAGTAGTAGTAGTAGAAAGAGCAGTAGCAGCAAGAGCAGCAGTAACAACAATAACAACGCTCACCAGTGGCAAGAAGGGCAGGTGGACGATAGCGGCAATGGCGAGGCCGCTACCACCGCAGGGCGAGGGCTCCGGGGCTGCTGGTCCAGGGGCCAGGGGCGGCTGCTCCAGGGGCCAGGGGGCCGAGGCAGGCAGGGGCAGCGGCGGCGGCGGCTGCTATTGTCGGTGGCGGCGGCCGCTGCTTTCGGCGGTTGACACGGCAGCGACGGCGGCGGCTGCTATTGTCGGCGGCGGCGGCTGCTGTTGTCGGCGGCGGCAGCTGCTGTTGTCGGCGGCTGACACGGCAGCGGCGGCGGCGGCTGCTATTGTCGGCGGCGGCGGCTGCTGCTGTCGGCGGCGGCCGCTGCTGCTGTCGGCGGCTAACACGGTAGCCGCGGCGGCGGCTGCTGTTGTCGGCGGCGGCGGCGGCTGCTGTTGTCGCCGGCAGCGGCTGCTGCTGTCGGCGGCTGACACGGCAGCGATGGCGGCGGCTGGTGTTGTCGGTGGCGGCGGCGGCGGCTGCAGGGCCTTGAAGGGGCCGCGATGTCAGAATGAGAAACAGGAATGTATGTGACTAGCAGGAACAACAGTACAAATATGAAACCCTAAACTGGTGTACCCCCTATGGTGTGACCCACTACAGCCTAGAACCACACAAACATATAATGTTTGACACACCCCCATAGGCAAAGTGGGGGAGACCTAGCGGTCACAAGACCAGTTCACATGCAGTTTTATAACAGAGCAAGAGGTACAATGATCACAACCTAGCAAGGGCAAACATGCAGGTATATATATAATGATCCCAGTACAGGCAAGGTCGAGAAGTAAGCAAGTGAGGAACAGTCGGCACAAGGCCTAGAAGAGTGCAAAAACGCTGATGGTCAACAGGCGGAAGCGCCTTGGTGAACACATCAGCAGTGTTGGCCTCAGTGGCCACGTAACGCAGAAGAAGCTGACCACGATGCTGTAGCTCTCGAGCTAGAAAGTAACGCAGAGCAATGTGCTTCGTCCTGTGCTCCAGTCTGTCCTCAAGAACGTCCGTGCCTAGGGGTCACAAGACCAGTCAAGGCAAAGCAAGGCAACCAAACTCCTCCTGTCTGTCCTCAAGAACGTCCGTGCCAAGAGCAAACTCACCCCCGACGGACGGAGGACAGACAGACTCAGACTCAGCAACAAGACTCGCAGCGTAGTCTAGACGACACGCAGATGCAAAGTCGACAAGCCCAGTGACTAAGGCAGACGCAGAAGCGGACTCAAAGGAAGGGTCAGTGACAACTGTAGCCAGGAGACGTGTGACAGTAGGACTGGTAGCG